TTATATATAATACATTTTTAATATATAGTATTGTATTATATATAGTATATATTATGTATTGTATTTTGTATAATATACATTTTGTATAATGTATATTGTAGTATATATAGATATTATGTATATTATAATTTCAGTATAATATAATATAAAGTATATATAAATTAGTATACAAGTATTATATATAATCTTATTTCTCTGTATAATAAATATTATAAAGATTATATATAAATTAGTATATATAATATAATATATATAATATTGTATGTATAGTACATATATTATATATTGTATATAATTTTTATCTGAAAAAACTGAATTTTTCGCGGACACTAATAGCGATTTCGGCTGGTCTGCACCGCCTGCACAGTTCGGGTATCGGTGTAACTTGTGTGTTCGGCTGGTCGAATGGTGCAGTTCTTTGCTGGTGCCGCGTATTCGTCTGAGCTCAGTACACCACATAGATGCATGTTGGGTGTACAAACGGCGTCATTAATTCGAAGAATAGGCGCGGGAATCGGAGAGCAAGCGGGGCGGTTGCTCGTAGCACCAACGGGCGCCGTACTAACTAACTAGTAGCAATCAACTTTCGGCATATTTTTATTTGTTATAATATATCTATTTCTTCTTATTTATGCACAGTTTGCTCTCCGATCTCCGCGCCTATTCTTCGAATTAATGAATCGCCGTCTGTACACAAAGTGGCTCTCACAAATTAGTTGGAGCCAGTTGATGTGGTCTCGTGTTTGGCTGATATATACTACCGTGGTGGAAATATTCAGTGCAACACCACATGAGTGTACGCACTGCACACACTTGCACTTACTCTACACAGGTAGCACATCGGTGCAGATCAGCCGAAATCGCTATTAGTTGTTCATCACTTTTTCGCCTCGTTCGCTAGCGCTACCGGTGTACACTGGCAACCGCGTACTACGCAGTGTGTAGCCAACTGTGATCTTGCGGTCTGAGTGCAGGGGCTGTAAAGCACACGAGATCCCCGAGTTCGAAACCGCTCGATACCTCAGAATTTTTTCCAGATCTCTTTCAATTGAGTTGATCGTTCGAAAGGCGAACTGTGAATCGCCTCTAATAGTACCACATGTATATGTACGAATCAGAGAAAACATAGACTTAGATGTGTCCCTACATATGTTCTAATTTTGAATGATGAATGTCTTTTCCTACCTCTAACCGTTTTTGAGAAAAACACATGCTAAACTTTTTATCAACCTCACCCTGTATATTTAATTTGATATATATATTTTTTTATATAATATTATGCTAAGTAACAACAGAATCAACTTTTTGAATACAACCTGCAGAAATGTGTAAATTATCGGTAAAGAGGGAGGAAAACAAAAACATTTTTTACACATATACAGATTTATACATATGTATTTAGGCACTGTTAGTTATACTTTATCACAATGTCTTATTGTTAATTTCATTATATTATATATATGTATATATATATATATTTTATCACACACTCCTTATAAATCTATCTTTTATTAACGTGTACTGTGTGTACTTAAAATTAATCGCAGTAAAAAGGTATATTAGATATCTATGTACAAGGCGAAAAAAAATTGTATGATATAGATATACATGTGTATATATCGCGATATAATAATCAATTGTAATCGTCATAAATAGCAGTGTAGTATACATATATATATATATTTTTTAACAAACTCTCGCTTTTTTTTATACGCTAGCACCAATATAGCTTCTAACAAATACAGAAGTGTTAGATCAATTATAATATTAAAACGCACACACATACGTGTGTTTCGCATAATATTCAATTATTTAAAAGAATTATTATATATATATTCTAAGAAATATATGATTTTTTTTAGCGAGGTACATTGGTTCCCTTGTACACATTAGCGTGACATTACACATCAAAGAAAAATGGCATGTATGTCACGTGACTAAATTTGCAAAAATTCTTCGAATCTTCATAGACGATAACATACATCATTAACTGATACGAGTAATTATCATGCTCGTCGAAATTATTATATACTTTGTACGCGTTCTTTTTTTTTTTTTTTTTTTAATAATGTAATATTTACAATTTTGTGAAAAAAATGCGAAAAAATATCGTAGCACAAAAAACTCGTGAACTGTTACACAAAAATTTAAATTTTTGTTTATTTACTTATTATGGAGTCCGGAATAAATCATAAACAATTAATCGCACATTATTCGCCAAAAAAGTTAGCACCAGCTATGACAATCACATTGAGTATTAAATAAATAGTAAATGAAGAAGAAGAAAATTAAATACACGGAAACTCTAAGTGATATTCTCATGGTCGGCGATTATTTGTGTTATCGATATAACGTACAAACACACATAAAAAACCACACACGTATATATTCTCAATGATCGCGTATTCTAGAAATCTAATTACCGACCAATCGTCAAACCTCCGACCTTCGGTTCGCTCGAACCGTGAAATTTTCGCAATTTATTTGCGGTTTGCGTAAACTTTTTTTTTTTTATCGCAGACGAGAATTTCTTCCTTTTTTCTTTTTTTTTCTTACATTCCACGCTACACGTCCTTGAGATTTCTTCCTTCATTTTCATTAATCACGTCTGACGGCCCGAAGATTTCCTTTCGCGCTTATCGTAGCGACGATATCGGTAGATTATAAAACGCGATTTCATTGGTGATGAATTAATAATTGCGGCTGTGAATCGTCATCGCATCAATCGTCCGTGTTCAACGCGTCATCCGCGCTCTCTTCCTTATTTCCATTTTTTTTTTTTTTTCCATATTGTGAAACCGCGACAAGAACGCATCTCCGATGACGTCTCTCTCTCTCTCTCTGCAGGATCTCGGCGCGAGATTTTCTTTTCAAGAATCCTCTCCTTAATCGCGCGGAGCGTTGCAACTGGATGTGATCCATCGAAGGTATCTCTTATCTCAGTCGGACGCAAGAAAGCTCGTTCGTCACTAATAACGCACTCTGCGTCTGTACAGCGGCGTGACTCGCAATCTTTCGTAGGAAAGCGGATTTCTAGGAAAACGCGACGTTTCCGACGACAGTTTCAATTGTCGATAATCCTCCAAGTTGGACAGTCTTCTGTTGGCCGTTACTACGGGTTCCTTCGCGCCTTTCCCGTAGAACGTGCTGCCGCTCTTGGCTTCGATGTCCTCTATAGACGGCAAACGAGAGTATCGCATCTCGTCCGCGTCCTCGTCTCTCGGCAACGGGCGCTTCTGATCTTCCGGAACCGGTCGGCCGTCCGGATAAACGCGTATCACCATCGGACCCGCCAGATAAGGACCGTTCGATTCCGACGGCACGTAATCGCCGCTCGACGCGGTTTCCTCGCCGCCGAGGCCGTTCGTTTCGCCGTCGCTGCTAACTGAAATATAATCGAAGAGAGAGAGAAAGATAAATACTACGTTACATCGCGATGTGACCGCTTAACTTCGAAATTGAAAACGTTCGTTTCTGTCGTGGATTAAGAAACAGGCTTGTTAAAACGCAATGGATATAATAATATATCGGAACGTTTCATATTCGCTTGTACAAAAATTCTCGTCGAAAGGACAACAACGTTTCGACTTTGTACGATTTTTGCGCAAACAGAGTTGAACTTGTTCGACGTAACGAACATGATTTGCGTTCGATGGTTCGATAGCGGTATCTCGTATCGATTTCTGCCATTTCGATAAACGAGTTAAAATGTTGATTGAAATATTTTTTATGTTGTTTTTTTCTTGTAGCGAATATCTTGTTTCAAAGAATGATCGGTCGCGAAGAGATAAGATCAACGACCGTCCCCGCCCTCTCTTATCTCGTCGCGCGCACGCGCGATGGATTTTTTATTCCTAAACGCAATTTCGCGCGCGCGCGACCTCCGCGTTATGATAATTTATTTAACATATCGATTTTTCGGATACTTTTCTTCCGGCAATTAATCGAATACCGTCAATTTGTGAAATACAAGGCAACCTATCGAATATATCGTCAATTTGTAAAACACACAAGGACTTCGCGCGAGCCAGGCGTGCAGGAATTTGCGATATATATGCGCGCGCGCACTTGCGCAAACACGTAATATTTGCAAACGGCGCGAACGCAGACATGTGACAATAAAACGTCACCGTGATTTCGCAAAACAATCTCATTTTTTTTTATTCACGTTCCATTATAATCTTTCGATGTGATAAAAACATGTTTCTTTCTCCGATATTTCGATACGAACGCGCGTGCGCGCGCGCGCTATAATTTCGTTCGGTATAAATTCTTGAAATCACGGGCGCGCAGCGACTTGGCTTTCATCGCGTGTGTCGATCATTTAGTACACGCAAGTTGCATACGCGTGTAATATATGGGCCACAGAGAAAATGTGAAAGCCACGGGTTTTTTTGCGCGCCCCCGCCTCATCTTTGTGGACATCGAGAAAAGTGACCTCCTTTCGCGACCTGCCTATCTATCGGATCTATGATTTTAGAGAAACGACGAGTGCCGTGCGAAACTTTTTAGAAGACCTCTCTCTAATTTCTCAGCTCATCGTCGTGCGACTCGTTGTCGGACTCCTCGACCAATCGTCGAACCGGCAAAGTTACATACAGCCCGTCAAGAAACTACTCAATAAAGTCGAATCTCATCTGTACTTTTTTTTTTTTTTTCAGATCGATCGGTGCAGCGTTCGAGAGTGACGGAAAATAAAAATGGTCCTGAAATTTTTGTTTGAGAAAAAAAAGGGAGAAAGCGCGCGAAACATCCGGCGAGGATTAATCGCCCCATCGGGACACAATCGTGCGAAGGAGAAAAAAAGACTTTCTAGAAGAGCGCGAGCGAGATCGAAGACCGCGTGGCTGAAAACTTTCTCGCGATATAGATATACTGCGTATTTCCGTTCGCTATCGAGGAGAGATATCCCTTGGAGGAAGGAGCAAGCTCATAAATTTTGTACTTTTTTTTTTTTTTTGTTCTCTATACCACGCTCTAAACCGAGGCACGAGGCACGTTTTCCTTCGGCGCGCGTGTAAGTCTCTTTTGTCGCGACATGTTTGCGGTTTGAAAAAAAAAAAAAAAAAGACACAACTTAATTACTTCTTTCTCTTTTATTCATGTGTTTTTTTTCTTTCGATCTCCGTAGGAATCTTCGACAATTAATATTCGCAGCTGATGATTTATTATTACGTTCCGGTTGTTTTTTTTGTTTTTTTGTTTTTTTTTTCACGTTTTTCCACTTTCGCACGACTCGTATAAAAGATCAAGCTGAATTGAAAAGAAGTTTGCGATTTGAATACAATTATACCTGCTAAATCCGCACCGGTAGTGAAGTAGGACTCGTCGCCGTCGTGGCTGACCCTCGACGAAATTCTGCTGCTTCCCACCATCGCGCGCCAAACTGTAAACAGGACGTTACAAGGTGGCGTGTGAGGCCGTGCGAAGACGCTATCAAGGCCAAAATTCACGGTTCATGTAAATATAGTTTTCGACGGGCGAGCGCAAAATGTGATTTTTCTGTAATATCCCGCCGCGATTTCATTTAAATAAACCGTTCTCAGAATCGATTTTAGATAGACGCGTGGAACGATTGATAAGATATTCGAAACGACAGCTCGTTAAAAAAAATAGACGCGATTTTTCACAATGCACCGGTTTATATTTCGTCCGTTGCATTGACCAAAATTTACGATTTCGAATTGCTGTCTCGTTCGAATCGAAAAAAAAAAAAAAAATAAAATGAAAAGAAATCTTCGAGCAACAGTGAAGTCATCGATGTCGCAAATGGCTTTGTGTCGCGCGATAACGAGCCAGCATTTGACATGTCTGTTATTATTCCTTCGAAGAATGAAATTTGTCAACGGCAATGTGATACTATTGTACGACGCCACGTGTCGTTTCGAATCTCACTTATCAATCACTCCACACACAGTTTTCTTACTCATTTCCTTGGCGCCGCGCTGGTAAGGATCCAGCTTGTCGAGGACGTTGTCATCCATGCCGGCGAGGCTTCGTATGCCGGATACGAGCAGGTTCTTGGTGCAGTCCGGCCTCGAGGAATCGGCGCAAAACTGTGCCACTTGTTTGCTGAATAGTCCGTACAGATGACTCATCTGAAACGAACGAAAGGTGCGAATCTATTTAAAGACTGTTTGTCTACGTGATTTGCCATTGATATATTGTGCGTTTGCGCTGTACAAGAACACGCAACACACGTTAATTCAATTCTAAGACAAGAAATTACACGTGTGTGTGAAGATATTTTTTTTTGCAACTAAAACATGTTTTTCTCTTATTAAAAATATAAAAATATATTTTTTTATTATATTTCTTTACTTAAACATGTGAATATATATATCCCGAGTCGAAATTTAAACCCTACTTTACAGGAAAAAAGGAAATTTCGGACGTATAGCAGCGTCAAAGTAGCATCTACTTTTTTTTTTACTTCTACTTTGAGCCTAACAGAGACTGCAATGCGCAATCTGAGCTGAGAATTGAACCCTACTACTTTAAAACTTTGGCAGGAAAAAAGGAAATTTTGGACGTATAGCAGCGTCAAAGTAGGATCTACTTTCTCTCTTACTCCTACATAAAAAAAGAGGAATTGAGGTTCAATGTAGACGCTAAATTTGTTGCTGCTGTTATAATTCGGCGACGCAGAACTTTTTTCGACGAAAATTAACATTAGATATACCAGCTATTTAAATATACCTATTAAAAAATACAAAAAATATATTTGTTACGAATATATATATAAAGTAACATTAAGTTCATAAAATGTATATTCTCTACTTATAGCTACAAAAGTCATAACATCATTTCGGAAAGCAAATGTTACATGCAGTAAAAATTTTGAATTGAAATTGCACGACCAGTCAAAATGACTGGTCTGGTAAATCTAGTGTTAACTTTGAAAAATACGCGCGATACACATTTTATTTTTATCTCCTCAAAAAAAAACGATGATCGTAAGTATATCGTAATATATCGCGGATCGCATTCTGGCCGCGTCCGGAGAAACTCGTTAATGTGTAACACACGGGGCGACGACGAACGGGACGACCGACAGTTATAAGAAACGCGGGCAAATATATGTATGCGCGATACGACGTACCCGTTCATCACGTATCGAATTGCGCGATAGCCGTCTTTTCACCGATATAAATCTCGGTGGGTTGCGTGAAACGTGGTGAGACGCGTATGTCTTCGTTCTCGCACCGGCGATCGCGATAACGAGAACGATGTCCACAGGCGGACTCCTTTTGCGGGTCGTCGTGCTTCGAGCACGCGGTCTCTCTCGGAATTTCTAATGATATTTTTGTACGACTTTCCCGCGCGCGGAATTTTTCCTACCGGATTTGTTTGATCTATTTTCGCCGCGCGCGTTCATTTCGACACTTTGACGCGCATAAGATATTTATAGATTTTATACACGATGTGCGGAATTGATTCCGTCTGACGCGTATTTATGGATTTGATATTTGCGTTCAACACCGAAACGAACAAACAATTTGTGAGAAGAAACGAGACGGTTTTCAACGTAAATAGAGGAAGTCGGAAAAATGACAAGGTTTTTATCTCACACCTTTCTAATGTGATTACCGTTGCTGACCAACGTATGTACGTACGTGTGTGGTCAGTGATGGATTATTGTCCGTTTCCGCTGCGGTTCCGGAAATTGGGAGAAAGCAGAGATGAGCGGAACTCGTCGGCTACGAACGAATTAGCGCGGAAAGACAATGACTGCATGCGCTGCAGTTACCTACGATGTATGTCTACGAAGCAGCGATTTTTATATCTCTCTTTCATCTTCTATTAAACGTTCTATTTAACGTCTTTCTTGCTTATATGCACGTGTGAATAAAAAAAAAAAAAACAACACGCGACTCGCAAAAAATTTTTAATTGCTCATATAAATATTCAAATATTGAGCAATTAAAAATTTTTTGCGAGTCACGTGTTTTTTTTTTATAGAATAATATTATAGAATATTTATATCTTTTTAAAACTTAATTAACTGTAAACAGTTAATTAACTGTAAACAGCTAATTAAGTTTTAAAAAGATATAAATATTCTATATCTTAGTTCTTCTATATATATCTATTAAAATATTCTATATCATTAAAACAAATTCAGATCGGTTTCACAATTTTGACTACAACGTACTAAGTAAAAAATGTATTTTAAAAAAATTAATGTATAAACAATTTGCATAATAATGTAGTTTTCGCATGAATTTATGAATTCTATCAATCCGTGTGTGTACAATTTTTCTAATTAAATCACTTCTCGTAATCGTCACGTTTGACGCGTGTATAATCAAGCGGAATCTTTAATCTGTACATTGACCTAAACTGGTCGAGAAACCGATCAGTAAGCTTTCCTCCAATGCTCTTGAACTTCAGCTCTTAGACTCACTCGATCGCTTTTACTCGCTCCAATATTACATGCGCGCATTTAATCTCGCGCACGCAGCTGCGAGAAATATCAAGTGCATGCAACCTTGGCCAAGAACACGAAACGCTTTCAACATTTCCCGCTTGAGAAAAAAAAATCAATCTTAAAAAATCAGAATTTAATTATTAATTACAATTTTCTACCGCATTCCATCTTTAGTTTTACTTTTAAGCGCGCATCAAATAAAATGTATAAACGGAGTTAAAAAGAAGTCGGGACGAATTTTTCTCGTCTTTTTTTTTTAGCAATTTAATTGAAATTTTATTATTTCTCAAAACTCTCACAGCTACGCATCTCAAGTATCTCACAAAATAAAATTCCATGAACACACGTCGAAAAAAAATAACAGGTTGC